TTTTTCCTCACTGTTCCTATAAAGATTCTATTCGTACACTAATAAAAATAGTCACAGTTCACACTAATCACATTAAAGTAACCAACAACATATTTCTCTTATCTTCCTTTTGTTGTATTTGTATTTTTTTTTATTCATATTTGTCCACAAAAATCGAACCAAAAGAAAAGAACTATGTATTTTCCCAGCAGCAAGACTCAAACCCCTCAGACCCCCCGTCCAACAACAGACAATTTCGTGCCGACTGTGAGCCTCAGGGAGCCGGTTTGAAAACATATTGGATGACTGGAATGTGCTCCGGGTTTATAAAAACAAACCAGTGTGTTATGAATAAATGTCAGAGCCTAGAGTTTGCCTGAAACATGTTTGCATGGAAAAAAAATGCAATAAAACAGCTCCTGCAAAGGTTTATAAAAATATAATAAAATAAAACTTGCTAATATCTAGGAACTAAATGCAAACAAAACGAATTTAGTCTGTTAAGCACAGGAGGCACTGCCCCACAGTCGAAATGTGCAATTAGTAAAGTGAACGCAATCAATGGTTCAAACTGGAAATGAGTGCATGAGTCAAAGAAGCCCAGCACTTCGCTGCAGCTCTCTCTTTGAATATATTCAGCTGTTACGCAATTCAACCCCCTGGTAATGTGTTTTACTCACTTTGAAGCTGTTCGTGCATCATCATTTTGTTCCTGATCCCTGTGGGCGTGGGCTGCTTCAGAAAAAAAATGTTTTCATCTTCTGTGTTTTTCTCCAATATATCATTTTTTTTATTTGCTGATATAGCAGAGATTTATGAGTGAAAGAGATTGTCTTTGTTTTCTTTTAATAAGTAGAGGTCTAGATTCATCTAGAAAATAAGAAATTAAAATAAGTCTCATTCAAATGTTTTTTTATTATGCATTATATAATAGGACTCTATAAATTAATGATATCAAGCTCTTATGTAACTCTTCTTATGGGCCTTTGTGGAAAAAAACAAATTACTGTGGTGCTTTTGGTCCAACTAACTATAAATAAATATCAAATTTCTTTCTTGAGCTCATAGAAAGTTTAGGCAATTCATATTATTTATGTAATGTGTTCAAAAGACACCAAATTGAGAAATAAAACTCGTTTCTCATTGTATGAACCCGAGCTTTCTATATTTTTACCCCAAAATGCCAGATTCACACTACAATTCTTAGATAAAAAAAAAAAATTACTGTGGAAAAAAATAGTAAGAAAATCGTTGGTTGTGAGTATGAATCAGTGTCTGCTGAATCAGCACTCACTCAACCAAAGACGACCTACGACAAATATCAAGCAGTGACAGGAATTTGGGACCTGTGCTGAAAAAAAATGAGTAATAGTTCTCACAGGAATGCAGCACAAAAGTTGTAAAAATATTAACTTAATCATAACTGAGATTTGTGCAAAAATGAGTTCATCAAGACACCAAACTGAAATAGTTTAATCTAACTTGAAATCAGCATTTCCCAACAAATGTTTTTGATTTTCTTTAAAATTTCCCATTGAGATCAATAAAGAATTCATTCATTCATTCATTCATTCATTCATTCATTCATTCATTCATTCATTCATTCATTCATTCATTCATTCATTCAAAAATTGACCATGTTTCTCTGACGGCTTGCATTGTTTGACATCATTGCAAAACTTGGGGATTTCTCTTTTCAAATCTAATTTCTCATGACATCACGCCGGACAAATTATAATTTAGTTCTCAAACGCACACTCTTGTAAATAAAACTAGCATGTTGTTAGTCACAAACTGTCAAATTTCAATAAATTATGTATCCTATCATTGTGAAGCTTTTTTCGATTTACACTTGTAAATCTTAATTGCGACTTATTTTGCCATCATGGGTCACATTTTCTGGGAAAGTCATGCGGTGTGACCGCTGCTGCGACCGTCATTCTTTCCAGCCACAAGGACTTCCTCGRCTGTTTCCTTTTCCTCATCTACCTCAGTCTCTGTTCCAAGTATATGCCGGCTACAATAGAACATCAATTTAATTTCCATTCATTGTTGGACTGAYTGCTCTGTCTGGTCCTTGTGATGGACGTAATTCTCCTGCAGTAAAAACTTGTATGGTCTAGGATCTGTTAAATATTGCGTCCTTCAGTGTGATGGGTTATTGTCAAGATTTTAGGATTTCAAACTCGAGTAGCGTGACATGTACATTTTGGCTCTTGTTTATCAGGTCATAAGGAGTTCAATACGGTATTTCTCATCAGAACTTTGACATTTACTTTTTTATATGAGATAAATTCATCTAATTAGTGGCATTGCATTTGATACTGTGGGTTGTGTGTTTTCTTGGTAATCAGTAGAAGTTATATTTTCCACTAGAGGTCATGTACTCTTAGAGGAAAGAGGGATTACCATAGTGTATTTTTTATTTTTTTTTGCACAATGCTGTTAGCGGTCATGCGTGCGTTGATTAAACAGGCGTACAGACTAAGATGTGCGGCTGTTTGTGGCGCTTTGCTTCTGCTTCACTTGCTTGACTTGAATCTTGCGTGACGTCGTTCATGCTTCAGTGTGTCTTCCACTTGCTGAGCTAGATGGTACATTAGAGCTCTAGTGGTGTCTGGTTAAGTAGTTAGTGTTGCCTCATGTCAGAGCCACATTGAGTCTTTAYGCCACTGACCGACAGTCACACACTCTACAGCTTAAGTCCGTGACCTGGTGATATCTGCCAGAGAAAGGGTATTTTTAGCTGCAGGAACTACAGGGATGCCTATTGATGCAGCAGAAGGCTAATGAAGACAGGGTTTAATTCCTCCTGCCAATCCCCTTTTGCATTTAGTGCTCCAATTAAAAAAAAAAAAAAAAAAAAAACCACGCTGAAAATGTAAGCTTGTCTGCGGATTGGATTTTATTTTATTTCTTGTTAGAACCTGTCTAAAAGGATCACCATAAGGACCTTAGCAAGTGTTTGTTAAGGGTAGACTGGAAGAAGCTGAAGTTTCTCCTGTGCGAGCCTCTCTTCACCTCCCTTCACTTCGGTCCAGGTTGGCCATAAGAAATCACGGGAATAGGTGGGAACCTCCCCCTGCTCTGCCTGGGAGTGTTCTGGGATAATAGCATCAGGGACACCTGGTACCATCACACAGAGGACACAGAGGCTCAGAGAGGTAGGCTGGAAAACTGGAGGGAGCAGCGGGCGGTAGCAGGCAGCTATGGCACACAAACATGGACATGCCAGAGAGMGGGTGAGTTACTGCTGATGTACAACTTATTGGAAATCTCAAGTTACTTATGGCTCGGCATGAGTTTTCTATGTTTTTATTTTCTGTTTTCCATGAGTTACTAAAAAAAACTTTAAATTCAATTTATCCTAGAGACTTCATCATTTGGCAGTGTTTGAACTTTATTCAGTTCACTGAGTAATTCATCATCAGTTAGACCAATCTAATGTTTTATTCACTGTAACCTGAAGAGAAGCACTGTCTCATTTTAATGTTGCTAAACTGAGAAAAGAGACTTCAAACTGCTGAAATTTGACTAAACCGATGCAAAGTAAAACTAAATGTTCTGTTTTGAGACCGGTTCTACCCTTCAGTTGTGAAAACAAAGACATGCAGAGATCTGCTCAGTTTGTTGCATCTCCCCAGCTTCTTGAGTGTCTTTTTACTCTTGCAGTGGACCTTTGATGTGTAAATACTGATTGCAGTTAGGACTGTGGGCTAAAGCAAGTAGAGATAAAAGTTCTGGTATTTTAAATAAAATGTCATGATATTTATTAGGCGGTGTATGTGCTACAGTGATGACCAAATCTTACCCATCTTGTTGTTAGTCTAACATTTGTGTGGCCCCTAATTCATCTCCTGTGTGTTGTGTCAACTCTGTCAGCCCGCTCGTTAGTTTGCACTCCAAACACATGTTGTGGATGATAGAAATAAGGGACAGAGGGAACGTGAAAGCACTGACTCAATGAATGAAGACATTTAATGACTCAGGAATTGCAGCGTTAACTGTGCGTGGATCTTTAATCACGAGCTATAAAGTCACATTCTCACTCCGCCGTGAAAGAAAAGTCACATGATGAGAAATTAAAAAAAGACCAAGGGGGCAGAACAATCATGGGAAAAAAAATGTTGCAAGGAATTCTGCAGGCAACAATCATGAGTACATAACTCAGACTGTTATGACATGAAACTGTTCTGTTTGACAGACAGACAACATCAAAGTCTGATYGTGGATTTTGACTCTTAAGCCACCAGGATGAGAGGAGGAATTCTTGGAAAAGCAGAAATCTTTATCTTTGAAACACCTGATCAGGCTTCAGGCTGTGCTGTGATACAATTAAGTTCTTTCACAGAAGGAGTCTTGTTTCACCATCACTTGTCTTGTCACACTGATGGAGTTAAATTAATAAAAATAAAGTGGAAAACAAATTAAGAAGGACATCACGTGACCACTAATCGGCACCTTTAGTGCCCGTTTCTGTAAAGTGTTTTAATAACTGTCAAATTGATTTACTTACAAAACTCCAAAATTTGAAGACTAGAGCTTTCTTATGAAATGCTAGGCTAGCAAATAGACATGCTAACCGTTTTCTGATCCGTTTCATGTGTTTCCAGATCTTTGATCTTGGGCTCTTTGAAGGATTTGGTTAACACGATGAATCACATCTAACAACAACTCAAGCCTGTGTATTTGAACATAAAGCATAAATCACAGAACAGGAGAGAACATCTAAAAATAAGCTTCCTGTTCCACCTGTGCTTTCCTAAAACTAGCAGATTTCCTCCCCCCTTTTAAATAAAGGAGAGTTCTGTGCCTGAAACAGCACAATGAGCCCAAATGATATAATCAGAGTATAAACACTTTATGTAACACATTACAGAGCAGCATCACTGTTGTGTGAGGCTGCTGCTCTTTCTCATCCACCCGATTTCCCTGATTAGCCTTAATTTGTTCAAACTCAAACCAAAATCCAAACAAAGAGTTAATTTMAATCTTTGTTTTGTCTTATCTCGTATCTTCAGATTCAGTTTGCGAATGCGGAGGACAAACAGGARTTCAGCAAGTTTCCCACTAAAGCGGGCCGCCGCTCTCTCTCGCGGTCCATCTCACAGTCTTCCACAGACAGCTACAGCTCAGGTAAATACTCACAGAATTATTACTTTTAGATGTATATTTTGAAGGTATTTTTTAGGCCACATGCTTCTTTATAAATGCAAATCATATGTAGCAGGTCAACGCACACCTGTACACAGGTACAGGAAGTACAAGCTCCCTCTTTTCACTCAGTAGATTTGATGTGTTTGATAATTGGCTCCCTCGTGTGTTCGAGCACCAAAGTGATCTTTTGTGTTCTTCGTGTCCCAGCTGCATCTTATACCGACAGCTCAGATGATGAAACCTCCCCGCGGGACAAAGCGCAGGTCAACTCCCACGGCAGCACCGACTTCTGCGTGAAGAACATAAAGCAGGCCGAGTTTGGCCGGCGAGAGATTGAAATTGCAGAGCAAGGTAGGTCTGACCTCCCTCACAGGTGGTCTGGTTTGGATCTTATTTTGATTAACTCACCTCTTCAGTTTTATTTAATAAGTTAATATTTCATATGTGAATGGTGGCATGGTAGACCAGTGGTTAGAGCTGCTGCCTCGCAGTGAGGATTGATTCCCGGCCTGGAGCCTTTTTGGGTAGAGTTTGCTCGTTCTCTCTGTGCATGAGTGGGTTTTCTCTGGGTACTCCGGTTTCCTCCCACAGTTAGGTTAAGTGGTAACTCAAAAAATGAAGCAGATTGTGTGTGTGTGTGTGTGTGTGTGTGTGTGTGTGTGTGTGTGTGTGTGTG